TGAGGTTCAGATCCGCTGTTCATACTATGAGTTGTACTCAACGGCACCTAACTACAACAATTACTTTGTAGTTTGGGTATCTGTACTCTTGCTTATTATTGTTCTAGGTAGTGTAGCACACGTCTTAACAGTTTGCTGAAAGCTGTGCCACCACTGTGTCAAATGCCAGAGGGGTCACCCAAGGTGGACAGGTTTTAGTAAAGCTCCCAGATTAAGACAGACTGAGAAGCAGGATTGGACATCCACTTCTGAAATAGCAGGCCTTTGAAACACCTATGAACAATGAGGAACACGGATAGTTCTAGTATTAAAAGTAGATTCTAGTTTGGAAGTCAGTCAAAATAGGAATAGCTGCAAACATCCTTGAATAGTTGGAATATAGAATATATATGATGAAGTATGAATGTTAGAAAACTAGAAGTTAAAAAAAAAAAGAAAACTAGAAGTTGAGAAAAATATGGAACACTAAACATTCTAGGCATTAGTGAGATGAGATGGACTGGCTTTAGCCACTTTGAATTAATCACATGGTATATACCATGCTGGGAATGAAAAACAGATAATGGTATTCTTAGATCACCATATACTTAGATTCATAGTTAAAAAATAATTTTAAAAAGTATAATTTCAAGTTCTAAACTAAAGTACAATGTTGTGATATGATTTTATCCATCCAAATGCATATAAGGAAGACCTATTAATATGATTATTTTTCAAATTCTACACCAATAGCTGAAGCTAGAGAGAAGGAAATTGAAGATTTTTATTAAATTTTACAGTCTACAATGACCAAACATGCAATCAAGATGTGTTAATGAGAATTGGTGACTGGAATGCAAAAGTTAGAAACAATGAAGGAAGGGTAGTCAGAAAGTATGGACTTGGTGACAGAAACAAGGCTGAAAATAGAATGAACAAATTTTGTATGCTCAATGATTTATTTATTGTGGAAAGCCAAATGTTAAGCCAAATACTTAACCAAGAATTAAGGGAGGCCCAAATACAAGCTAGAATTCCTTCTAAGACAGATCCAAGGAATCAGGTACCAAGGCAGACCTAACAGTGCCTTTTTAAAAAATTATTAATTTTAATAAACATTTACAGAGGTTTTGGATTTCCATTCATTCATTGCCGCACCTTTCTCCTTGCCCACCTCTCCCTACTAGTTTGCTCCCCTCTCTGAAAAGAAAAAGGAAAAAAAATTCCTTCATCGGTATACAATTCCCCCATCCCTTCCCCCCCCCCCCACCCCAGTACACTTCTCTATGCAACCTTAATTTTGGATTCCCTAACAGTGCCTTTTTAATTCTTATATTGTATTTACAAATCCCTCCTTCCTGATGTAAGCATAAGGTTGTCAATAGAAAGAGCCTAGCTTCATTTGCATAGAATCTCTTTGTGATTTGTTCCCTTGCAATTTTCAATAAGGTCACAGGGAAGCTAGGTTCGGGGCTTCAGTCTTTGAGCTGTTCACCCCGTCTTTATGCTCTGTTTTTCTCCATTCTTGGTGTCCTGTCTCTTTTTTTATCCTCAGCCAAGGTTGAGTACAATTTATTGCAAATATTTTTTTTTTAAAAAAAAACTTTACACGTAAACTTCACTAATGGACTGCATAAGAATCAGATTGACTACATATGTGGAAGGAATCATTGGAGAAGCTCAGTATCAGCAGTCAAAACCAGGCCAAGTGCTGACTGTGGAACAGACTATCAATTAGTCATATGCAAGTTCTTGCCGAAACTGAGGAGGACCAGAAAGCATCTGCTACAAAAGATCAAAGACTGCAGTCTTCACTATGGATTGAAGCTCAACATCAAGAAAACAAAGATTTTCTTTTGATCAACTGGCAGAACTATGATAGATAAAATGTTGAGATTGTTAATTTCCACTTGCTCGGGTCCACTTTGGCACCAGGAGTCAGGAAATCAAAAATTGGATTAGAAAGGTCTGCTGTTAGGGACCTCTCCAGAATGCTGAGGTGCAAAGATGTCAGTCTAGAGACTAAGGTGTACCTGATGATACAGGCCATGGTCTTTGCAATTACTTGCTATTCATCAGAGAGCTGGACAATGATGAAGGATGACAGAAGAATGATTGATACCTTTGAATTGTGGTGCTGGAGAATATTGAACATACTATGGACCGCCAAGAAAACAGTCTGTCCTGGTGAGAGCAAAACCAAGTTGCTTTCTGGAGGTAAGAATTTTGTAGCTCTGTCTCACACACTAGTCCACCAAAGCTCCCTACAACTTCCTTGTTATTACTGTTAGGTGTTGATTGGAGTACTACGATAGTAACCCTATGAACAACAGATCTGAACACTGTCCTATCCTGTGCCGATCTTAGAATCTGACATATGTGAGTTCATTGCTGCAGTCACTGTTTAAGTCCACCTAATTGAGGGTCTTCCTCTTTTGCCAACCCTCCACCTTTCCAAACATGATGTCCCTTTCCAAAATAGACTCTTCTTGAGAAATATGCCCAAAACATGAGTCGAAACTTCACCACCCATGCCTCCAAGGAGAATTCTGGCTGCACTTTTCCCAAGACATAGCTTTTTTGTATTTTGGCAGTTCATGATTTATTCAGTGTGGGGATATTTAACTATAGCTCAAATCATTAATTCTTCTGTCATCCTTTTCACTGTCCAGCTCTCTGATGCACAGTAAGAGACTGAAAAGACCATGGTCTGGGTCAGAAGAGAACCTTAGTTCTCAAAATGAAGTCACTACTGCAACAATGAATGAATGGAAACCCAAAATCTCTGTAAATGTTCATTAAAATTAATAAAATTTTATAAAAAAAATAATCCAACCTAATATACAGAAGTTTCTAAAAATAAAATTAATGATAGCATTAAAAAGTTATTTCCATGATGTTCAATATTAACTTATTTTGAGGTATTTTATTAACATAGAGAAATGATATTGAGCTAACAATAAAACACTGCTTCTACAAAAAAAAAAAAAAAAAGTCTGCCCTGGCGGGCGGAGATCTTCAACAGTGACCCTAGGAGGGGAAGAACGAGAATGGTGGGCACAGGAGGCACAAAAAGCAGGAAGACAAGTCGAATCTCCCATCAAGTCTTCATTTTATTGAAAGCACTCACAGCATATATATAGGAGCACAATGGGGGGAGGAGAAGTACACAGTGGGGGAGAATAACATGTCGTTTCCAATAAGCTGAAAGTTATCTGGTAAACAGAAACTTAGCAGGGCTTCCCAGTAAACCGAAACCTATCCTCCCAGGGTGGGGAAACATGTCCAGACATGTCCTTAGAGAATTACAAAATGGCTTCAGCTAGATTGAACTAGCAGTCTCCAACAGAAGTCACTGCTCCTCAATAATTTGGAGAGATCACTGACTACAGACTTTCCCAGTGCAATACATCTCCTGATCTCTTGGCCAGTGGTACCAAAGGTGATCGCGGACTCATCCAAGACTAAATTGTTGACAGATTCAATTTTTTTCTATATTTATCATGATGTTACCTATTATTGTTCCAGTGGTAAAAATTTTCGTCACTTAAATGTTGAGATGCAATCTATATTGAAGACTGTATTCATTGAACTTCAAGTCCTCCTCACTTTCAACAAGCAAGGTTGTGTCCTCGGAATAAAGTAGGTTATTAATAAGTCTTCTACCGATCATGATGCCACATTCTTCAGCAGTATTAGGGATAATATTAGCTTAGTATTTTTAGAGATTTATTTTTAAATTTTACTTTTCTGATTGGCAATGGAGTTCTCTTTTCTCCCTTTTCACTTCTGATTTACAAAATAGATAATCATAAAATGTATCTTGCACTGCCAACTCAAAGGCAAGTGATCCAAATTCACCAGGTGGTCCTGAGAAGATGAGCAATCTCTTTCCATCCAATTTATGACCTCTGCAAACCTGGAGGGTGTGCTAGGAGTTAGTTCTCACAGTACACACAACAGTTGGAAACTCTGCTTGAGTAAGCGAAAGGTCTCTTTAAGTTTTTTGTTGGTTTTTTTTTAAGTATGTCTCACTAAATTACAGGGCTATTATGGAAAGTTGTGTTGCTAACTCAAAAGAGAAAGACTCTCTGGCAGTTTGAATTCATCAGTGGATCTGTAAGAGAAAGAGGGCTTATTTCCTCCAATGTGTTTTACCGCCCCAGGTATCCAAGGAGAGGGTCAGCTATGAATCCTTTCTGACTTGACAGCTCTGAGTTTTTTATTACTGTATGCATTTTTTTTAAAGTCTTTATTGGGGGCTTTAGATTCACTGTTACTGATTCAGGTGCCTATATAAGGCAACATAAAGGACTCTGGTAGTAATCAAAATGTCTGTAGCCTGACTACATAATGTCAACATATTCTAGCTGTCATATTGTTCTAGTTTTGCAAGCTATTACCATTAGGGGAAACTAGTAAAGAGCCCACTGCATATGAAATCTATAAATTGAATATGCAGCATGGCTCCTCCTGTTTAACATCATCCAGGGTATTCCCACGGCTACCATATGTGGCCCAGAACAGACTATTTTCTGTCCATATCTCCAAACTTACCAGGCCCCCTCAAGCTTTCCCTGCTCGGTGCAAGTGGTATTCTATACCTCCACTAGGCATACTCGCATGTCATTCCAGTAAACCGTGCTTCCCTTTTAGTTAACTCCTGCTAACTAATCCTTCAGATTCCAACCAAAGTCTCAAATCCTTAGGGAAATTTTCTCTACCTTCCTTGATCGGTTCACATTCGATGAGCTGTTGTCCTATTTATTTCTCTTGGGTAATACTTACCTACACTGCTGTTCTGGACCTTAAAAAATTGATTAATGTAATGTATTTTTTAACTAGATAGTGAGATTCATGAAGAAACTATATTTTATTCTTCGCTGTAAACTAAGAGACCAGCAGCTGTTCCAGCACAGAACACGATCTGCAAAGGTTGGACGCCCAGTCGGCAGGGCGCGTTTTAATCACGTCACTTCCGCCAGGAAGACTTTCCCGGGAAACTGCCCAGGCCTTGTCATTTCTGGGCCTCTCCGTAGTGACCATGGCCTTTCCGCCCTTCTTCGCTCCGGCTCGTCCAGGTCCGCCGCCCCCGCAGCCACCACCTCCCGCTCCTTTCGGCTGTCCACCACCCCCGCTGCCCTCCTCGGCTTTCCCGCCGCCTCTTCCCCAGCGGCCCGGCCCTTTTCCGGGCCCCCCCGCCCCCTTTCTTCAGCCGCCTTTGGCTCTGCAGCCCCGGGCTCCCGCGGAACTCTCACGTAGTAGTGGTGGCGGCGGCGGTGGTGGCGCCTTCTACCCGGTGCCACCACCACCGCTGCCTCCGCCGCCACCCCAGTGCCGACCCTTTCCAGGGTCCGACATTTGCGAGCGCCCACAGCCGCCGCCTCCGGGTCCGCCCTGGAACCCGCGCTGGCCTGAGGCTCCCTCACCGCCCGACGCGCTCGGGGATGCAGCCCTGCAGCGTCTGCGCGACCGGCAGTGGCTAGAGGCTGTATTCGGGGCCCCGAGGCAGGCTGGCTGTCCGGCGCCCCCCCGCGCGCCCGCCGGGCCCAGCCTCGGCGAGGTTCGCGCGCGGTTTCGCGGGGCTCTACGCCTAGTGCGGCGGCTGCGAGACCTGAGCAGGGCCATGCGCGATGCCGAGGCGGACGGGGAGACCTGGACCCTGCTGCACGCGCAGGCCGTGCCGTTGCGTGCAGAACTAGCTGCAAGTCTACAGCCATTGACCCAGGCTGCTTATGTGGGCGAAGTACGGCGGAGGCTAGAGCGGGTCCGGCGACGGCGGCTGCGGCTTCGGGAGCGGGCCCGGGAACGCGAGGCCGAGCGGGAGGCGGAAGCTGCGCGGGCCGTGGAGCGGGAGCAGGAGATTGACCGCTGGAGGGTCAAGTGCGTGCAGGAGGTGGAAGAGAAGCAGCGGGTGAGTATAGCAGATGCTTATCGAGTTAGAAGTGATGTTTGAAAGAGACGTGCTGTACTATATTAACAGCGCGTTAAGTATAGAGCACAGCACCAAAGCTCTACGTGTATATAATGGCATTGCAAGGATAAGAGCCACTTTCTCCTTTCCCCCCTTCTGTCCACTTGTTAACATTCTAGAATAGTAAATCTAGGGCGTACTTGTAGCGTAGTCTGTGACTCTGCTAACTCAAGGGACTCCTCAGGTACTCAGTTCACCAGCTGCTCTGCGGTAGAAATGTGCAATGTGCAATCTTGGGTGCAAGTAACAGCCTCTGAAAACGTAAGAGCTGATTCCCACTGGACAACATTCAATTGAGTTCTAAATCTGGGTCTTTGTCTTGTAGTACCTGACGGGCTTTAAGACTACAAAATAAAGAGCATTTGATACCTTCAGGAAAATACACCCTAGTTCAAGGATGGGATAGTGGTGATTTCCCCAAGATTCCTTTGTTTATGCATTTAAAAACTATATTCTCCCAGGTTTAGCAATGGTGTCGTTAAGCAGTTAGTTTATAATGGGTCTTCTACCCAAGTTTGCCAAATGCACGTGAATATTTTTAACAGCGTTGTGAAGTAGGTAGTAGTTTCCCGCTTCTGCAGATTAGGAAACTCAAGTACAGAGAGGCTCATTTACCCCACAATCACACAACCAATTTTTTGGGAAGTTTAACTGCGGATTGGATTCAGAGTTGTCTGATTCTAAAGCCTGCTAATCTCAACCTGTAAATTAGGCCAAGTTGAAGTAGGAAACTGGTCAAATAATTTTCTAGGGTATACTCCTTACCTTTTAATGTCTCTGGAGTTCCTTTCGAGTCTGCTACAACTTCATTCTAAAATATATCAGTGACAAGCTTAGTTGTACCTCCCAAGAATAATCTGTGCATTAAAAGTGAATGCCTATGATACAATTATAAAAGAAATAAGAATGTTGAGACACTATTAAAAACACAACCAATGAAATAGTCTGAAAACTGTGGAATGGGAGGTTTACTGACATATATTCTACAATATAATGGGAGATTGTGCGTCCTTCTCCCACAGAGCAGCTGGTGGATTCAAACTTCATGTCTTTGGGATAGCAGCACATCCCTTCTCTTACCATGAAGCCACCAGAGCTCCCTATTTTCAGTTTTAAGCAGAGAAATGGAATTGAGCTGAAGAGAACATCATATCAGGGTTGTAATAATGAGATTACAGGCACTTACTGGACTGATGAGAGAGCTGCTCTAGGCAAGAGACTTGACTACATGTGTGAGAAATGTTCTTTGAGGAGTGGCTTGAGGAACTATGTTTATTTTTTTTAGTCTGCATGTTGGTAGGGTTGTAGTTGCCAGATGTTTGCAAGATTTCATGTCAAAGAAGTCTCTGTAATGTTAAAACAGTGGGCTGCACACTGTGTAGAGTATCACTTGTAAAGTTTTGTAGAGTCTTAAGCCTTTTAACCCTATTCCTTATCTTTCATGAGAGTCTGAATGTTAGTGTCTAGAAGTTTCCATTTTCAACAAGGGAACCTTGTTACTTGGATTTCACTTTGAGAAACACTGAAGAGACAAAGACCAGTGGCCACATGGAAACTGCAGAGAGAGGAGATTCTCCTGTAACGTGAGAGTTTTGACCTTTGACTAGATCAGTATGGAGGGAGTTTCACAAAGCTCAGAAAATTGAGTGTAGATCTAGTTGTTGTTGTTGTTATGTACCATCGAGTCGTTTGCGACTCATAGCGACCATATATATGTACAACAGCCCTAAAACCTGCTCTATCCTGTGCCAATCGCATTGCCTCTGACACACCCATCCCAATTACCCCAGTCACTGAATCAATCCACCTCATAGAGGGTCTTCCCCTCCTGCGCTGTCCCTCCACCCTCCCAAGCATGATGACCCTCTCCAAGGACCTGTCTCTCCTTACATGTCCAAAGTATGTCAGACGAAGCCCCAGAATCCTTGCCTCCAAGGAGCAGCCTGGTTTAACCCTCTCCAGAATGAGTCTGTTTGTTTTCTTGGCAGTCCATGGTACATTCAGTACTCTTCTCCAGCACCACAGCTCAGAGGCATCAATTCTCCTTCTATCCTCCCTAGTCATTGTCCAACTCTCTGATGCATAACAGGTGATACAGTCTGTTAACCCTGTGATTGCCAGATTCTCTCGGATGTGACCTGCCAGGCAGCTGTTGTTGGTTATAAGATTGTTGCTGATGGTAGGTCTTGTGGGCTCTGGTTCTTTTCCAGGAGCAGGAACTCAAAGCTGCTGCCGATGGCGTCTTATCTGAAGTGAGAAAAAAGCAAGCAGATACAAAAAGAATGGTAGACCTTCTACGGGCCTTGGAGAAATTGAGGAAGCTAAGGAAAGAGGCTGCAGCGAGGAAAGGTAATGACGTTCCATTTCTACTTGGCAGTTCTTCCTCTTCTTTACCACTCAACCTCCTAGATGTTTTTGAACAAAAAAATCCTTGGTACTTTTCCTCATTATTTTCATTCTACAGAGAAACTGGACTTCTGAAGCATGAAACCTCAGAAGACATTTAACTCTTGGTCTTCAGGGTTAAAAAGGGAAGGAGCTTCCACCAGATGCTCTGCCAGAGAAGGAGGGATCATCTCCTCTTGTACCAGTCAGATGCAATTTGACGGTACACACACAGAGAAAATTTAAAAAAAAAAAGGGAAGGAGCTATAGGAATCCAATGCACATGTGAATGGTTGAACAGGACAGCATGCCCTTCAAGTAATATAGAGCCTCAGCTTCTTGAATGTCACTTTTGTGCTCAGAAGACCTCAAGTCGAGGACTACCAGGCAGCCCAAATTTCTCCTTTGAGTTTGCTCCAGCCATGTTCATTTTCTAGAAGTCCCCTGTCATGATTTTCATTTGCCTGCTGGGTCTTTGCTCCTGCCAGTCTGACAGCTTCTCTTTCCTTATCTTTGCCATTTTAAGTCCTCACTGTTCTACAAAAGGGTGCTCTGATATCTCTGAGCCTTAATTTATCCTGAGCCAACCTCACCGTCTTCAACCCCATTGCCACAGTGAATCCATCTCATTCAGCATCTTCTTCTCTTGGGCTGACCCTTTCAAGCATGATGTCCTTCTCCAAGGACTGGACCCTCCTTATAACATACCCAAAGTATGTGAGACGAAGATTTAAAATCCTTGCCTCCAAGGAGTAACCTGGTTTCACCCTCTCCAGGACAGACCTGGTTATTTTTGTGACAGTCCATGGTATGTTCAGTACTCTTCTTCAGCACTGCAGCTCAAAGGCATCAACTCCTCTTCTCTCATTCTTAGTCATTGTCTCGCTTTCAGATGAATGGTAAGCATTTGAGAAGACCATGGCTTCAATTGAGATAGGACAATATACAGATCAGTTATTTATAGGCTGACTGTGAGTTGTACTTGTCAGCATCTAACAGCAATATGGCATGGATCAGGCACATTTTATTCTGTATACTTACATCTTTGCTCTTTAGCACTTTGGAGAGGTCCTTGACAGCAGATTCTTTTTACTTTTTCTTTTTTTTTTTTTTTTAAATTAATTTTAATGAAAGTTTACAGGGACTTAGGGTTTCCAGTCATTCATTGTTGTACTTTTCTCCCTCCCCACCCCTCCCCACTAATTCACTCTTCTCCTTGAAAAGAAAGATAAACTCTGATTGTTATGCAGTCCCTCCCCCAAGTCTACTCCACTATGTAGTCTTTACTCTGGACTTCTATAATGACAAGAATACCCATTCATATATCCCTTTTAAATAGTTCTCCCCCTCATCTGTTTCAATGCAATATATATCATTCCTCCCCTCCTTTTCTGTCTTCCCTCAACCTTGATGTCAGTCCCATTTTACAACAGTGGCCCTGTGCAATATTTGTCCTTTTGTGACTGAGATATTTCACTCAGCATGATGTCCTCCAGTGTCATCCATTTTACATAATATTTCATGAGTTCCTTGTTTTTCAATGCTGCATATTATTCTATTGTGTGAATATACCACTGCTTCTCTCTCCATTTGTTGATGGGCACTTGGGTTGTTTCCACTTCTTTGCTATTGAGACTAAAGCTGCAAAAAACATGGGTGTGCAGACAGCAGATTCTTTCTAGCACAGTTTTTCATCAAACTCAATCTTGTGATTTCCTGACTGTTGGTGCCAATGGGGTTGATTGTGGATCCAAGCAAGATGAAATAATTAACTGCTTCAGCCTTTTCTCTATCTATCATAGGCTGCGTATTGGCCTGGTGGTAAGGATTTTTGTTTTCTTGTTATTGAGATGCAGTCCATATTGAAGACTACAGTCCTTGATCGTCTGCAGCAAACCCTTAAACTCTTCTCATTTTCAGTGAGCAAGGTTGTGTCATCTGCATTACTCCGTTTGTTGATGAATATTCCTCCAATCCTGATGCCACATTCTTCTTCATAAAGTCCAGCCTCCCAAATAAGCCCGTATAGATTCAAAAGGTATGGAAAAAGGATACAATCCCTGATGTACTCCTTTCTTGAGCATTCTGCAGTGCTCCCTTGCTTTGTTTCGACAACAGCTTCTTGGTTTAGGTATATGTTTCACATGGGCACAGTCAAAAGTTCGAGGATTCTCATTCTTCTCAGTGTTGGCTACAATTTGTTATGATCCAGGCAGTCAAATGCCTTTGCATAGTAAATAAAATAGAAATAGACATCCTTCTAGTGTTCTCTGCTTTCAGCTAAGGTCTTTCTGACATCAGCAGTAATTTTCCTAGTGCCACAGTGTCTTCTAAACCCAATCTGTTTCTGGTAGTTCTCTGTCTATATACTGATAAAATCGTTTCTGGATAGTCTTCAGCAAGATTTTGCTTGCCTGTAATATTAGTGATATTGTTTGATAATTTCCGCCTTCTGTTAGATCATTTTGGGGGGAGAGTAGGAATAAATACAGAACTTTCCCAGTCAGTTGGCAAGGTAACTATCCTCCAGATTTGCATCTGTTTGTTGAAATAAGTCAGTTGGTATTCCATCTATTCCTGGAGCCTTATTTTTTGCCAATTCCTTTAGGGCAACTTCAACTTCTTCCTTTATTACTGTTGGTTATGTGCTATTTCTTATAATGGTTCGGCGCCAGTCAATTCTTTTTGGTAAAATGATTCTGTGTCTTCCTTCCATCATCTTTTGATGCTTTGTGGATCATTTAGGATTTTACCCATAGCATCTTGTAGTATCCCATCTTGAGGCACAGCTTGAAAAATGCTTATTGAGTCCTTCCCTTTTGATATTCTAACTCTTAAGTCTTTGCACATTTCGTTTTAATACTTTGTTTTGCCTTATGAGCTGCCCTTGAAATCTTCTGTTTCAACTCTTCAACTGCCTCATTTTTTTCCCTTTGTTTTGGTTTCTCAGCATTCTAGTGCAATATTCAGAGTCTCTTCTGAAATCCATTTTGGCCTTTTTATCCTCCTCTGTCTTTGTAATGACCTTTGCTTTCTTCATGGATAATAATTTTGATGTTGTCCCACAGCTCATCTGGTCTTTGCTCAGTAGTATTCAGTGCTTCAAATCTGTTCTTGAGATAGCTTTTAAATTCAGGTGGGATAGATTCAGGGTTCTTGTGGATTTGTTTTCTTTTTTTTCTTTATCTTCACTTTGAACTTGTACGTGAGTAATTGATGATCTGTTCCACAGTCAGCATCTGACTTTTATGCTGCCAATCCAAAGGTATATAGTTCAAATCCACCAGATGCTCCATAGGAGAAAAATGGGCAGTCTTTCTTTCTATTTACTGCCTCTGAAAACCCACTGGAGCTATAGGTCAGCTATGGATCAGTTCCGACTCGGTAGTGTATAACAGCAACAGTATTCTCCAAAATCAAATTCAAATGCAGTATCCTTCAGGAAGTCTCTCTTGATGTGGACCTAAGTGACCTCCTGCTCTTTTCTCATTTATATCTAATTTGGACTACAAGCTCCCTCATTAAGATTGTAGGTCCTTCACATTTACCAAGGATATTCAGGTTTGCACAAGTAAGCAAGCACAGCAAATTATTTCTCCTGTGTATTTTTTTTAAATAAAATTTTTATTTTTATACTGGTTTGCTTAAGAAGTTCATATACATTGTTTTTCACACCAGATCTTTCCCATTTCCTTTACCCACATCTCCCTCTTTCTATCATATTGTGCACCCCTATGATTACCCCCCTGCCACCCTCACCCCTCTGCTTCTGCCCTCCCCCACTTATATCCTCATACACATTTTTACTAGTTATCTTTCTATTTCTACTATAATGGTCTTACACAGATTTGCCCTTATGGGACTGTTTTAGTTCACTTAGCATAATGTTCTCCATTCCCTCCCAAGTTAGGTAGTAATTTTCAAAATCATTGCTCTTACATGCTGTATAATATTTTATCGCGTGAATGTGCCATAATTTCTCAGTCCATTTGATTGTGGTTGGACATTTGGCCCATTTCCGTGTTCTTGAGATGGTAAATAACACTGCTGTGAACATTGATGTCCAAATCTCCATTTGTGCCTCGGTTCTTATTTTCTTGGGATGTATTCCAACCACTTGGGATGTATTCCAACCAGTGAGATAGCTGGTTCATATGGAATTTCTATGTTCAGCTTTTTGAGGAAATGCCAAACAGCCTTGCAGAGTGGTTGTACCATTGTACAATCCCACTAACAGTGTATAAGAGTTCCTCTGCATCCCCTTCAACTTTATTACTTACTATCTCATTGTGGTTTTGATTCACATCTCTCTTACTGCCAGTGATTTTTGAGCTTTTCTTCATGTGTCTGTTGGTCATCTGATTATCTTCCTCTGTGAAAAGTCTTTCCATGTCTTTTGTCCGTTTTACCCTTGTATTTTTAAATACAACTGGAAGCTTCTCAGACCTTTTAACTTTTGTCAGAGTATGACCATAACTCTCTGATGCATAACAAGTGATTGCAAAGACCATGGCCTATATTAGACGCACCTTAGTCTCCAGAGACACACTGTTGCTCTTGAGTACTTTAGAGAGGTCCCTAACAGCAGACTTTCCCATCGCAGTATATTTTTTGATTTCCTGGCTGCTGGCTCACTACTCTAAAGGGCCCCTTTGGCAGTACGAAACACATAGACTATTATGGAGATTGATTTTGGAATTTAGATGCACTCTTATTAATTGTGCTTAGCCGTACGTGTTCATATCCCTGAAGATGTATCATGGGGGTGTTGTAACCTAGAAGACACAAATTTAACTAACAAGTTATAAGTACATGAGTCAAAAATTATGGAAAAGTAAAAGAAAAGATTCTTTCATTGTTTTGCAAACCCTCCCCCAGGTCCCCTCCACCATGTAGCCCTCACTCTAGACTCCTGTGATGACAGAAATACCTAGTCACATATCTCTTTTAAACAGTTTTCTCCCTCCTCTGTTTCAGTGCAGTATACATTATTGAACACATCTTACTCAGTCTCTCCCCAACCCTGAGGTTAGTCCCGTTCTACAACAGTGGCATCATGTAATATTTGTCCTTTTGTGACTGGGATATTTCACTCAGCATAATGTTCTGCAGAGTCAACCATTTTGAATAATATTGCATGAGTTCCTTGTTTTTTAATGCAGCATAGTATTCCATTGTGTGAATATACCACAGCTTCTCTAGCCATTCGTTTGTTGATGGGCACTTAGGTTGTTTCCAACTCCTTGCTATTGTGAACAAAGCTGCAATAAACATGGGTGTGCATATACCTGCTTGGATGTCAGCTATGGTCTCTTCAGGGTATATTCCCAGTAGTGGAATTGCTGGGTCAAATGGTATCTCTATTTGCAACTTTTTGAGAAAGCGCCATACTGCTTTCCACAGGGGTTGCACCATTTTACACTCCCACCAACAGTGAATCAGGGTTCCAGTTTCTCCACAACCTCACCAGCATTTGTTGCTTGCTGTTCTGTTAAATTTTGCTATTTTGACTGGGGTGAGATGATATCTCATAGTTGTTTTAATTTGCATCTCTCTTAGGGCTAGGGATTTTGAGCATTTCTTCATGTGTTTGTTAGCCATCTGAATGTCGTCTTCGGTGAAGTGCCTGTTCATATCCTGTGCCCAGTTTGCTATTGGATTTTTACCTTTATCTTGTTGTGGTGCTCAAGTATTTCATAAATTCTGGATATAAGTCCCTTATCTGATACGTTATTACTGAATACTTTTTCCCAGTCAGTGGCTTCCCTTTTTACCCTATTGGAGAAGTTTTTGGATGTGCATAGGGATTTGAGTCTTAGAAGATCCCATTCATCTATGTTATCTTCTCCTGGTTTAGAATTACTTTTTTAACTATGAAAGCATCCCCATTTTTTTCTTACCTTTTCATCTCTGGAGTAACATAGGATCATCTGACTCAGAATGCCCATGCCGGTCCATCTCATCTCTCCATTGCCTAGTATGTCAATATTTATGCATTCTATTTCTTAACAATTTCTAATTTTCCTACATTCATGGTTCTCACATTCCATGTTCCAATCACTAATGTCTGCTTACAACTGTTCCTCTTCCTTTGTATTTCCATACTTGAAAGTTCTACCTAGGTTGCCCATTCTGTTAGTCTGCGTGTGTTCTGTTGTACATAGGGTTTTCAGAGGCCTGCTAAATCCTATCCTTACACCTGTGATAAGGGCACTCTGGTGATATGGTGCCAGGCCAAAGGTGACGCCTCTTTGGTCATTTGAATCCACCAGTGGCTCCTTGGGAGAAAGATGGGTAATGTCCCAGGCAATTTCTAGCCTCTCTAGACCCACTGGAAGGTCAGATGTGAGTTAATGCCAACTCTGTGGCCATGAGGGTGAGGTTTTTATACTCCCATTTCATAATGGAATGGCTTTTCTATATTATGCTAAGAAGTTATATTAGTGTAGAAGTCAGTCACCTTTGAAATGTAAAAAGAACAGATTAGGCTCAGAGACACAAGTACAAATGTATCCATGTCACATGATTGTTGCCTGAGAATCCTAGGAACTTGCCCTGGAGAGAACTTTTCTCCCCCAGAACAGCTGGTAGATTCAAACCAGTGACATCTTTGTTGTCAGTACAGCACATAATGCCCTACTAGCGCTCCATATCTATACATATATGTATATACTCGCTCTTCTCTCCTATTGTGTTGATTCCAACTCATAATGATTCCATTGGGTTTCTGAGTCTGTCAGTTGTAGGGGGAAGAGACTGGCCATCTTCCTTCTTCGGAGCAGCTGGTAGATTTGAACCAGTAGAGACGCAGCCTTGCAGCAACCTACAAATGGTGCCACCAGAGCTCCCTGTATATACATATAATCTTTGCTGTTGTTGAGAATATACCCAGCAAAATAGACCAATTCAGTAGTTTTGACATTACCATTTAGTGACATTGATGGCATTCTTCAAAATTATGTAACCGTCTGCATCCCCTTTTTATGCATTGCTGTTCCTCCTGACAAAAATTTATTGCTTTCTAAGATCTTTGTCTTATCTTTTAATTGCTTTTGTCAGTTTGATCCCAGATAAATACTTTTAAAAATAAAATACTCTGGGCTGTTTCATTTGGTTGGTTTTTTACTAGTTTTAACCTAAGCCGTTACTTAGTTTTTTGTTTGGTTGGTGGGGGGTTTTTTTTTGTGTGTTTTTTTTAACTGTTACTTACTTAGTTTTAAGAAAGTTTTAGGGATGGTTTAATAATTTAACATTCTCTCAGGGGAGTATTTCAGTGATTTATCCAATCCTCATAGCTCTGTCACTTTGACCAAGAAGATCCTTCTACAGAATGTTTGATACAAATGTTCAGTCACTGTACCAGGCACTAACCAGTTTCACTGTGGTCACTGTTACAGGAGTACTAGATATTCGAAAACACTTAAGTGATTCCTTGTTTTGTAGAGTAACTTTGTAATATTTCAGGGATCTCCTGTGTCTTATAGCCTGTAGGTAGCTATGCTCCTACTCTAAGGGCCATCCTTCTCTGGCATTCAGATCCACTGACTCCTCCATAGGAGCAAGATGGACCATCTCCTTATTGTGATTTACAGCCTCCTAAAGCCTCTCTGGAGTCAGCCATGAGTTGGTTCAGACTTAACAGCATGCTGTCTCTGCAAGCACCAGCCCCTCCCAATTACTTGTCCAAAATATGTAAGATGAAGTTTCACTGTCTTTGCTGCTAAAGAGTATTCTGATTGCATGTCTTTCAGGATAGATCTGGTGTGGTATTGGATTTTTTTTTTTAAACCATCCATGATATATTTAGTAGTTTTTGCCAACACCACAATTCAAAGGAATCAGTTTTTCTTCAGTGTTCCTTATTCACTATCCAATATTCACAGGTATGTGAAGTGGTTGAAAGTACTGTGGCTTGGGTCAGGTTCACATTGTGAATACTATATGAATATTTGATACTGTGATTTGAGATTTAGAAAAGCTGTCCTGTTGTTTCCTAAATGTTAGCTGATGCACTGTTAACTAGGAGGACCAGCCATTTTTGGTTTCTTGGTACCAAGAAGTTCCCAGGACCTGGGACTCTGAATAGTAAGATGAATTCAATGGTGATGATTAGTCACCTACTACCAATAGCAAATTATGATATTACTGTAGTTGGCCAAGCATAACTTCTTCACCACTACAGGTGTTCCTTCAGACTCCGTTAAAGGGAGAGTTTTTCTGACAAGGACTGAGGAAATATGTAAGCTCCTCCTGCCAATGAGTCCACTGTCCAATTTGGAAGATAGGACCAATAGAAAGGAAGTGTTGTTTAGTTGAGGGAGTTGAAAAAAAGATGAGGCGAAATCAGAGTCATTGGCTACTCAAGAAGAGGAGATTGAGTAGATTTTGTAAGAAGTTTAAGTAGAATTTGTAAAGTTATGTAGATAAGAATTTGAGTCTGCTTATTAAAACAGTAAGCTCTCTAGGGATAGTGTCTAAATGCCATTTGAATCTCTTTGCTCAGGAGTCTCCCCTCCAGCCTCAGCAGATGAGGCTTTTGAACATCATCTGCAGCGACTGAGGAAACTCATTAAAAAACGCTCTGAACTGTATGAAGCTGAAGAGAGAGCCCTCCAAGTTATGCTGGAAGGAGAACAAGAAGAAGAGAGGAAGAGAGAATTGGAAAAGAAACAAAGGAAAGAAAAGGAGAAACTTTTACTTCAGAAGCGTGAAATTGAGTCCAAGTTATTTGGGGATGCAGGTAAGTTTTTCTGTTAGCAGTAGAGAGAAGTGTTAAGTTGGCTGTCCTTATCATGGAGGATATTAACTGAAGCTAAGGGGTGGTGGTGGGTACTGTTGAGTTTGTTTTCAACTCAGTGCAACCACATGTGACAGTAAAACCGACCCATAGGGCTTTTTAAACTTGAGAGCTTGAGGGGAGTCGATAATGAGGTCTTTTCTTCTTTGAGCATCTGGGTGGGTTTGTGGTTAGCAGCTCTCAGAGCTCCTTTAACTAAAGAATATCTCAGAACTCACACTTGCTGCTGTCAGGCTGAGAGTGACCTTCCATTGGGTTTCTGGAGCTGTTCATTGTTAACAGGGATAGACTTCCCATCTTTCTTCTTCTGAGCAGCTGGTGGATTCAAATTACCACAGAAGTGTGCCTCTGGATTTACAGCACAGCTCACTACAGACTGTGCCACCAGCGTTCACACAAGCTAGGGGAGAGTGGACACCTGTGAGGCACATTTAGGATTTACTGTGTCATGGAAATCACAGATAATGATGAAACAAGCCTCATCATACTGCCACAATTGCCCGATCACCGAGATATAAAGTATGTTGATGTGATCTTGTGCAATTCTTTTTCAGATGAGTTCCCACTTGCTCACCTCTTGCAGCCTTTTCGACAGTATTACCTCCAAGCTGAACACTCCCTGCCTGCACTCATCCAAATAAGGTAAAAAAGCTAGACTCCTAACAGGCTACTTTCTACCTCAGGTAGCAAGAAGTAGTTGATGAAGTGATTATTATATGGTTGAGGCCCTATTACTGTATCTTTTTTTAAAAAAGTTCTTAATGGATTTATATTTCCAGTGTTCAAGGAGGCCACATAGATGATGTTTGTTATGATGTGTTGTAAAATTAGAACTGACTCATAACTGATCGTCCAGGAGGTTTTCAGAGGCTCCAAATCACACTGGAAGAAATTGCCCATCTTCCTCCCATAGAACAGCTGGTGGATTCGAACCACTCCACACTTTGTTGTTTCTAAAGCCCCCCAAAACATATGGACTCTAGGGATCTTCAAAGCATGCTCTAAAAACCATACAACTAAGTGATCCTAGAATTCCCTTCCAAAGCTCCAGTGACTTACGATTATTATAAAAGAATGAATGCTTTTCAGCATGCATGGCTTCTGTTTTGGGAAAGATGAATCTCTAGCTTACATACAGGCATTCGCTTTTAAACACAGGCATATTCATTATTTACCCATAGATTACACATTCTTATTTTAAGAATTTCCACCCTTTATGTGTACATTTAGGAAATCATAGTATTTTGCATAATTCCTAGAAATCAAATTCTGTATTGAATTAGTTCAGCAGTCAGAACTAAAGCCCAGAAATACAATATTTGGTTGTTTAACATATTACTCAGAGTAAAACCAGAAATTAACTGTTTTTCTTCAATGTTCTTATTAAGGCATGATTGGGATCAGTACCTGGTGCCATCTGATCATCCCAAAGGCAGCTCTGTTCCCCAAGGATGGGTCCTTCCTCCGCTCCCCAGCAACGACATCTGGGCAACTGCCCTTAAGCTGCAATAGTGAAGCTTCTCCAGGAGTGTGGTCTGGCAAAGGCTCTATCCAGTTGTAAATATTAGAGATACTGCCGTCATCGTATGCTGTACACTAAAGGGGGATATCTGAACCCAGTGTGGCGTTGCTCCACCCTAAGTTATGTTTCCCTTCTATGCTCTGTCATGGCCAGAGTTGTCTCTTGAATCAAGAGAGGAAAATGATTCTTCACAAAAGACTTGTAGTGAACTGGGCTGAACACAGACCGTGGTCTTGGTTCACCAAATTTGCCTCTGTTTTGAGGGGCTGGGTCAAAGTGACTTGTTAATTTATTCTAAGTTCCATGTGGTGATGGGTAAGTACTCATCCACCCAGTCTCAGTGTGTGCTGGTTAGATACAGATGCCTTTCTGCAATAGTGAATGTGAAAGGCACAGTCTCCTAACCTGTCTATCCAGAGAACCTTTGTAACTTCCAGGAAGAAAGGTAGAAAATGCTCTTTATCTTCAGTATTGTTAATCCCAGGTCTGGTGCAGTTTCTGAGGCTGTCAATGAGGAAAAATAGACCTGAAGTCAAAAAAGAACATAGCCTCGTCTGGTAGTCATATTGAAGACCTGGAAAACCCGAAGATTTCCTGTACCCAGATCTGACCAGGTTTAAATGGACAATGGCTACATTTTTCCTGTGGTAGAAAGATTGTAAAGAAAATACTTATTTTTAAATGTTCTGGTAGTCTAGTTGTTCAGAATCCGTAAGGGTAGAAGTTTGGTTTGCTCTATGAATGGGGATTTAACCCCCTTCTGTTGTACTGGAGAGTTGATACAGCTGTGCAGTTTTGTTACAGATGTAGGCTGCTCAGACACATTCATGTTGTCAAAGCTGGGCAGAATTCAGTTAATAACTACTAATATTTTATATATTTATGTTTAAGTGTGGTTCCTGGAGATGATCAGTTGTATAAATTGTCAATTTTTTGTTTGATTTGATTTTCTTTTTCTCCATTTGTTATTTATATTTCCAAAGAGCTTAATAAATACCATTTTTATTTTTTAATTTGAGCGTTTCCTCCTGATTTGTTGCCTCCAAAATCACTAAAAACAAAATTTATGTTGCTGAAACACATTATCACTACAAAGTTGAAACTTACTAAGTAGGCATTTGCTATAGGATGATGAATCTTAAAAACCAAACTTGGCCTGCAAAATCCAGCTTTGGATAATTAGGAGAGGAGGCTTAACCTTTTGCCCCTCTTCTGTTTAATTGACATTATATAATCTATACGTTGTGCATTACAGAAAAAATATGTGAGGATTGAGGCCCAGTAAGTCTCTCCAAAGTGTGTCTTTAGTCCTAAGTGATTTACTTCATATAACACTACAGATCTATGTTTGGTTTTTTTGTTACAAATCTCTACCATTTGCTCTGATGAGATGCAAGAAGAATAGATATCAAAATTAAATTGTATGATGTTTATTTGGTGTCTAGTCAGTCTTACCACTAAGATATCTGCATTGATAGAGGGGTGATAAAGTGAAAAAACTTGTGGTTTCAAAATATTGGCAACTCCTGGACAATCTTGTTTCCTCTGCAGCCTCACTGTTTACATGGAATTATTTTAAAACCTCTCCTAGATACTATATTAATTTGTTCATATATATTTCATTATCTATAGCCTTAAAACTTAAATCACTGTACTATTATCATACCTCTGTCTCATAAATGTGAATTTGTTCAAATCAAGATCTAAATATGATCTATACATTACTGTTAATTAACCCTGGTATCATGAATTCTTTAGGAGTTAAAAAACACTGAGAGTTTAATTTTGCCATACTTTTCTTCATTTATTAGCAAGAGAAACTTTTCCCTTGTCAGTAACTGTTATTCTAGGATACAACTTGTCTTGGAAAGTAAAGAAATAGTTTCCTTTATTTACAACTTTTCAAAATAATGAGCTGGTTCTCTAGCAGCTTCCCAAGGTGGCCATTGGGTTTTTAAGTATCATTACATACCCAATCTGAAGTATTGGTTACGTTTTTAAATATCATGAAGACCAGTCTAAACAAATTTGTATTTCAATCTGTTATTTTATTGACTGTCTCATCTTTGGCCAATGGCAGTCTATTCATATTGCCTCCTGAGTCCTTCAGGTGTGATCCCAGAAGTCTATTCCAAGTTTATTTGGTATTTTTCTGCCCCGGGTCTAGGAGCTCTCATTACACTAGTAAGCTGTGGTTACTCTACCATGGAGAAGATTTATATAAAGACCATAGTCTTTGTGATAAGGATGTTCATTTTCACTGGGTTGGACACTGCTTCTCGTTCTTTTCAATCAATAGAACTGGGAACAACAGCTGAAGTTGAACTTTCAGCCTTCTGGTAAATAATGTCCTTTTTAGGCCCATATCTAAATTCTCTATTATATACAAGTTAGAGAAAGTAGAATAAAATTCAAAGAACAACCAGACATATTTAATCCATTATCTATTGATTCATCATTCTATTTTGGTAAGACTATTGTTTTACATTCTTTCTCAATAGAGAAGATTCTAGACTTTGAGAGAAGCGCTAATAAAAACAAGCTTTAATTAAAAAAAAACAACAAGCTTTAAGTTTTAAGAATGATAAATAGAGGAACGTTTAGGATGCTAGGGAATAGAGATGTTAAGTACTAGGAGTGTTGACCCTGAGTCACTGAGTTTATGACATCAGAGGGATTTGCTGCTACAAAGCAGCCAGCCTAATCATGCTAATCCAGAGCCATTCATGTTCCTGCGTCCATGTGACTTTTGTGTAAGGACGCATCAAGAAGCTTAGCTGGGATTACGCCATCTGTTGGAGCCTTTTACTTCTACGTGCTTTGTCCACAGGGAAGCTATCCTGGAAATTACGTGGTGAGTACAAAGTTACGTCTTGCTGTAGTATGCAGTTTATAGAATAAATGTGTCTTCTATGAAGGATTAGTAATGATAATATTACAGAGAATAGGGATTATATGAGATATATCTAAATCAGCAATTTTTAATGCTTAGAATCAATAAGCTATTTCTAGGTGATAAGCTGTTTGCTTTTACATGTATCCATGCAGTAGTTTCTGACTCAAAACCCGTGAAGAATTTGTTTTCCAGGCAAGTTCTGACAGAGTAAACTGGACATGTGATAGGCTTTGAACCTAAGATTTAGGTCTTTAAAGCAACATTTTAGAATGTTTAACTCTGGAAAACAATAGACATTTTCCTCAACTTTATTAATTCATGTTTGCCAGTATCTGGATACCAGGATTTTTGGACTATGTTCTTTGGAAGATGATTTTCATCTGCTAGATACCTTACCAGAGATAGAGGAGGGGGGAAAACCAGACACATTGCCAGCCCTGCACTCCTAGAGTTAACTACAGTAGAGAAGCTTAATGATTATATAGCTGATACAATGATTTTAATTTGTTGTTGTTGTGTACCATAGAGTCAGAACTGACCCACAGCAGACCCTCCAGTGGGGTTTCAGAGGCGGTTAATCACATGGGAAGAGAGTGCCCATCCTTCTTCTGTGGAGCAGCTGGTGGCTTCCCAACCACATGCCTTTGGAATTGCAGCACAGCTTCTTGCCACTAGGCCACCAGAACTCCCTAATGATTATATTGTTGTGTACCGTCAAGTTGGAGCTTGAACCGCGTGCCTTCGGGATTGCAGTGCAGCTTCTCAAGAGAAAAGTACTTAACTACGGGATTTATAGGGAGTTCGGGCAGGATGGTCCATAGAGAGCTGCATTGTTAATGAAAGGCTCCACGTCTCTGGCAGTTCAAATTCACCAGCCACTCTTCAGGGAAACGATGGGCTTCCAGGTGGTTCACAGCCTCGGAAGCCCTGTGGAGGGTCAGCTGGGACTTGCTTCTGACTTGAATGGCAATGAGAGAGAGAGAAAAGAGGATGGATTTCTATTTTTATTTGTTCATGTATTTAAGTAATTTTAAAAATTTATTTAAAAATACGTATTAAGTGTTCAAATATTTACTGTGCTAAGTACAAAGGCTATAATGTTGAACAAGATACCCCATCACTCTAACCTTATGGAGAAAGTGTCATGAGGGGAATCCAATAATTATAAAAATAAATCTGCTAAGGTGCACTGAGGTGTCATATGTTGAGTTTTGCACTGCTAACCAAAGGTTAGAAGTTCAAATCCATCAGCTGCTCCAAGGGGAAAGATGGCAGTCTCTCCCTCCTGTTAATATTTACAGTCTCAGAGACGTGGAGGATCACTGCCAGTCAGAATAGACTCCAAAGATGCTGGGTTCAGGTTAAGCATTGTGAAGGAAGGCATGATTCTGTGAAATTTTATGTGTAGCTTTTTTTCTGACAGAAGAATCTATAATGTTTTCAGGAAAAGTAATAAAAATATCAGTGTATCAAATAAGAAGAGTGAAAACTACATGGGTTTGTTTTTTTTTTTTTTAGTTTATATACATATAATGTGTAAGGTAAGTTGCAGGAACTCTGGTGGCTCAGTGGTTAAGTGTTTATTAGCTGATATCCAAAAGATGAGTGGTTAATACCTACTTGTGCTCCATGGGAGGAAGATGTGGCTGTGCTTCTGTCAAGATCTACAGCCTTTGAAAGCCCATGGGGCAGTTTGACACTGTGCTATATAGGTTTTCTATAATTCACTCAGCAGTGGGTTTGGGTTTTCATATGCTAGGTCACAAAGCCAAGTATTTCATAATATGAGCCATAGGGGGGATAAAAAAAAACAACCTTGAAAGCCTTAGTGCTAAAGGGCTGTAACTCAAATTGGAGGGAAGGGATTTTATAGAAATTAATACCTCATCCAAACTCTGAAGAGTCAATGGCTGTTATCTACCTTGGAAGGAGATAGAAAAATAACATTGTAATTACCTAGAACAACACCTAAACCCCACTGTCATCAAGTCAATTCAGATTCATAGTAGCCTCCATCAGGCTTCTAAGCTGGTTCATCTTTTGTGGATGGATGCCGCCCATCGTTCCCTGTGGAGCAGCTGGTGGATTTGAATT